TTATAAGGATTATATTAAGCACGTAATATAATAGTATAATAGGCGTTTTATACGCTACTTAACCTTCTATTTTATTGCCTTTAATACTTTAATATAATTATAAGCCTATATATAGTCTAAATATTTTATAAAGTAATATAATAATAATTATAAACTACTTATATAAAAGCTGCTTATTTAGGTATTAAAGTATAATAAAAACCTTAAGGTATAAATACTAATTAACTTAATTATAAAATATATAGTATTTATTTATAGCACACGCCCCTTTTAAAATAAAAAAAGGCAGGATTTTAAGGCTTATACCTATAATCTTAGATATCCTGGTGTATTTATTATATTTAGCCTAGCAAATTTATACTAGTAGAGTCTCTACTAGTATATACCCTAATATAATAAATAGCTAGCTATATTTAAGTTTAAGAGAATAGGTTTCTTACGCTAACTTTTATATTAAAATCCTTATATTACTGCTTTTTATTTCTACTACTAATACTACTTCTTCTAAGATATTATATTAAGTAAGAAGTTTAATATTATAAATTATTAAAATTAGTATAAATAGTAAAAGCATGGTAGTCTATATAATTATAGCTTATACTAGATAGAGAATTACTTAAAAGTTAATATAGTAAATAAAACTACTTATAATATTTTTATATATATATAAGGATTTTATATTACTACTATTAATTCTAAGCTAACTAGGATTATACCCTAGGGTAAAGGTAACCTTTTAAGTATAAATCTATTAAGTATAAAACTAATATTTTTGCGTTTCTTATAAATTATTAATTATTATTAGTATTATAAAATTAATCTAGAGTAAAAGTATTATTTTAACTTTTCTTATACCTTATAAAAGCTAGCTATAATAATTAAGAAAAAAAGTAAGTTATATTATATTTTTAAAGTAATATAAAATAATAACCTTATAAATCACTTTAATCTTACTATTATACTAGGCTAGCTAGCTAATATTAATATATCTTCTTATACTAGCTTATAAGTAGTTATTATATATACTATTAAGTATTATAATAAATCTAAGAAGAAAACTAAGCTTTACTATAAGCTTATAAACCAGGTTTTATTATATATAGTATACTTTTAGCTGTTATTATTCTTTTTCTCTTACCTAATAAATAAGCTAATTATTAAGAGAGATTACTTAGCGTAGAAGATTTCTTATTTTCTTCTTAATATTCCTTTATAAAAAAGTATATAAATAATAATTTTTATTAACTATTATCCTTTAAAGTAATATATATATTTATATTACATAGATAAAAATATTAATAAGACTATTACTAGTTACCAGAGATATCTTAAAAGAAATAGCTAGTATAAAAATATAACCTACCTTAAATACCTATAATTATATAATCTTAAAACGTAAAAAAAACTTATTATTAATATAAAAAAAAAGTTTTATCTTATTTCTCTTAATATAAGTTTATAAAAGCTTTTTTTTAGTTTAATAACTTCTATTATATTAAATTAATAATAGCTTATTTATATTACTTTTTAAAAAATTTATATATAATAAATAGCTATTAATTTAACTCCTTTATAACTATATATAAGTATTATAAAAAGTATTATAATACCTATTTAAATAATTATTATAAGAAGCTAGATATAAATAAATTAAGAATAAAAAAAAATAAATTTAAGCTTAAAGTTTATAAAAAGCCTATTATAAAAAAGAATTAATATAAACTTACTTATATACTTTTTAATTACTTATTAAAAGAAAAGAATATTAATATACTTAGCTACTAAAATATTAATATTAATTATAATTAATCCTTTTATATTAAATAATATACTAATAATAATATTCTTAATAGTAATTATTAAAAGTAATATAAAATAAGAAACTATCTTAACCTTAATATAAATTATTAGCTTTTAAAAGCTTATAATTCCTTAAATTAATATTAGTACCTAGTATATAATACAATAATAAACCACTTTTTAACCCAGGAATCTTCTTAGTTATTACTTTATATAGATAATAGGGGTAGTACCAGGAAATTATACCTTATTACTCTCCGTGTACCTTTAAGCCGCAGCTATAAGGAGAGGAACCCTTATTTAGCAAGCCGCGCCAATAAGCATTATAAAGAATCAGATATTAAGTATAATCTTATACTTTATATTATACCTCCTAATTAATAAAGACTTTAAGCCCCTTTTAACTATTAATAAGGCTTAACTCTAAGTAAAGCTTAAAAATATTAAGTATTTAATTATTAATAAGAAGAGTATACTAAAATTATATTAGCTATCCTGGATTAATAAGCGTTTTTATAAAGTATTTTTAAATAAAAATAAAAAGTTTTTTAATAATCTTAATATTCTTCTAATTAATAACTTTTTTTAGCTTTTATTTATACTATAAAAGTTACTTTATTATAATAAAAAAGTATAAAAAGTAAAGATTAAAAGTAAAAATATATATAAATACTTTAATAAATTAGTTTTCTTAAAGGTTATTTAATAATAATAAGGTAATAATTAGAAGGTATTTTATATAGCTTTTAAAGAATTATAGCTTTTTTAATTATTAATTAGGTCTTAAAAACTTCTTTTTAATTAAGTATAAGTAAAACTAAATAATCAAGAGGTTACTAAGTTTATTAATACCTTATAAGTATATACTATAAAAAATAAAATAAATAAATATAACTATTACTACCTTAACCGCTTTAGCCAGCTAATTATTCAGGTTAAAGCTAAGAATATCAGCCTTAGCGCGGCTATAACCCCTAATAATAAAGTAAGTAACCTTATAAAGCAGATCCCTATATATATTAGCGTCTATTTAATACTAATATTTAACTTTTAGCAGCTAGTTGGCCTATATAACAGCGCTTATAATACTATTTATAATATTAGCTAGGCGCCTAAAGCCAACCCTATCTAAGACCCTTCCTATATTATTATAATAAAGTTTAATAAGTATAATAGACTTATATTCCTAATTACCCCTAATAATAAAAAAATTATCCTAATTCTTTTAGTAAACAATAACTTCCTTATTAAAAGCACTTTTTATACTTATACCTAGTTTCCCCTGATTATATACTATGCTATTATTATATATAAGTCGTAAAGCATCACAAAAAATATAATTATTATAAACCTCTCCTGCCAGGACTTTTAGACTAGTCTTAGCTATATAGCTATCTCTCGTGTAAAAACGCTCCAGGGCCTGATACTAGATGCCCTATTTGATCGCAGTCACCTGTTTTATAAGTCTCCTCCAGAGGGTATAAAGATAAAGATAAAGATAAGAGATAAGCGGCATAGGAGATAACAAGTTCTTACACGGAATCTATATAGGAAAGACCACAGCTCTGCATAACTAAATAACTAGCTAAACGGTAATAGCTTAATAGTTGCTTAGCCTAAGGACTCCCAGCCTTCGGATAATTCTACCCCTTGCACCTACAGCTCTAACGTGCAAGGGGTGGCGTAGTATTTTAAAGGGCCAGGATATGGTTTAATGGCCTCGCGAGAGGCGTCAATTCTCTGAATTAGATACACAATCATATATTAATATTTACATTGCATAACGCAATGTATAGAACAATCAGAACCCACGACAAAGAATGTGTTGCGATGTTAATCGCTTACGGGCTCAAGCCTAGTTACCCCTGACAACACCTTCCCCTGTAAAGGTGCACGTGACTAAGATTGCAGCACCTCCTTTCCCATTGATAGCTTCCAGCTCTAGATACAAGAACAAGAACAAGAAGAACAATGATCATATGACTACTGCGGTAGCTAGTGATTACCGCCTGTGAACCGACAGGAATCAAGCCAGGTCTCAGAGAAGCCGCTACCACCTTGTACCGGCACTACGAAAGCTCAATATGGCTTGCCGTGTGCTCACAGACTCTTAGAGTTATTTAGTCAAAATGAGCAACTAAAAAAAGAAGACTTGGACCCATTTTGGCATATCAAACCATCACGAGAAATTCACGATCCTCTTCTTCAAATACAACGTCCTCCAATCGGGATACCTAAGGGTCGTCCATGAAATGGAGAACCATTTGGAAACGAATGTGCAATCCTGGAGCATCGGCTTGCGCCCCAAGGTTCGACACGAAGCAGTGTTCAAAGCTCAGCGCGACGCAATTACTCTCAATTCGAGCTGGGACCAACCATTGACGAAGACGACGCGGCGGACTCACTTGATCAACGCCGACAAAAAAGAAGAAAAACTGCTGTCTCAAGTACAACCAGAGTTACCCGTCAGCAGACAAAGACTCAGAATGATGGGAACAGGCCACTTAAAGGGTATAATGCTTTGGAAGTGGACGATGAACTAGAAGCGATGGAGTCGTTGCTTGCAGGAGGAATGGCGACGGAAAAGGTTGGTGATAGTATTACAGTTGCATTAGATTAGGGTGCGCAACCTGGGTGAATTAACAAGGAAGATAGTACAATAGTTACATTTGCACTGGGAATAATCTTCCCCCCCATGGGTGCCAAACCATTTGTGTACTTGGCGACGTCGGAGGCAATGTGGCTGAATGTGGGGGTGCGTGCGGATTGAGAGTTAGGTGCGTTCTAATAGAGTCTGTCCTTAATAAAGCATATTCCGAGTGTAAAAACGGCCGTTCGGGTTAAGCGACGCCGGGCATTGTATCCCGGCCGCCGGTGTTGCGCCGACTCCGCCTAGAATCGTCTACAGGCAGCCCGGTTAAGTTACAAGCAGACATCCCAGTAATGAATAATTACTTAATTTTGGCATATTCTTATCTATTCTTAACGACCGTCCTAGTATTCGCTAGTCTATTTGGGCACCCGGGTGCCCATGTATCAGTCGCCCCACCTCCCCGAGGTCATTGTAATTCTCAACATAAATTGCCTCGGTACTTTGTTATTAATACTTTGCTACTCCCTACATTTATAAGGGTTACAATTGTTCTATACCTTCATTGAGTCACCGAAACTAGTGCTGTTCAACAGAAAACTCGTTCTGAATGGCTCCCCTACAACTTAAGTCTCCAAGAGGAGGTCCTCTATCGCTACTTCTATTTGGTATTGCAATTACTGGCTTTTTTGCCTTGCTTGCCTTTCCCATTACCGATGGCTTCTTTGGTGCGATGATTCTCCAAGCGCATAACCAGAAGATAGGGGCGAATCATTCTCACTTCGACACCGCTTTGACAAATTGGACATTGTTCGACGACTTGACGAATGCCCTTACACTCTTTTTCTATGATCTTGTCGATGCATCAAGCGCCGACATAACGTTGCTCATGGTTCCATTTGGCGGATCTGCAATGGGAGTCTGGCTTCTTGGAATGATTGAGAGCAACCGAAAGGGAAACAAAGGGCGGCTCCCTGCCTTGTAAGTACCACCTATTTGATTTCCTCTATTTGGCCTTGAGCTGACCTCAAAGCTACACCACAATGGCCATGTTGGGTCAACTGGCAGGACTGGGTTTCATAAGTCCAATATTCTACGCCATGTCCCTGAGGGAACAGAGAGCATCTTGGCACGGAAGTGATGTCACTGTTGCTCCGGAGGCGCTCTACACGATACCCATCAGTATTTTTCTGGGAATGGCCGGCCCGACCGCTCTTGCTGCTCTGCCGGCGCCTTCCGTCTTGTCGATCAACCAAAAGGTCAATCTAGTAAGGCTTTGGGAGATGTTTCCTTTCTTGGTATATCTCGTCCACCTGGCTCTGACGCCTCTGGCCCGGTGGATTCTCGAACGGAGCGGTCAACGCGACAGCCATAGGCGTCAGAGACTCCAGTTTGTGTACTCTATCGGCTTCCTCTGGAGCGCAGCTCCATACTGGTACTGGTTGGCCATGGTCTTTTCGGCCTCAGCATTTCCTTTTGCCTTTGCGCCCAAGATTACAAAAGCCTGGAATTTTCGACATATGCTTAGGCTGACCAACCCTTTCTTGCTCGGCAGCCCGTTGCCGCCAATACCCACTGCAGAATTTTGGTTTCTCCAGTGGGACTTTTGGTTGATTGGTGTTTCTTGCTTCGTCTGGGCCCTATCTTTAAGGCTTGAGACTCCGAAGCTCGACGCACTTTACCTCAAGGGGGGAATTGTCGTGGAAGCGCTTGCGTATGCCATAGCGCTCGGCCCAGTGGGTGCGGCAATCGTTTTGATATGGCAGCGGGACATGCTACTAATCAAGGACGACGATCGGTGCAAACAGGCCTGAGCAGGTTCAGTGTCTTGTAGGAGTAAACATTGTTTGGGCAGGCAGAAAGTGTCGCAAGGCGGATTCAAGAATGTTAGAAGGGGCTGATGGGCAAGGCTTGTGCGCTGGCTTCGTCACCAGCCAATTTTCACGAGCATCTGACAGCAATTAAAACCTGGGAAATTTCATAAAGTTGATGACGTTATCATGCCGATTGAAAGTGTCATGCGACTTTGTATTGTCGTAACATGTGGAGATGGACGGACGGAGCAGCCAAATACATGATCCGCCCGAGATGCCCAACTCCACAAGCTCCGCCGACTATCTATGTTACTGGGAGACTTGTGGATACCTCAAGTTGCGTACAACCTCACTGGTCAAAACAAGTACTGCTTTGTAGCGCATTGCCCCATAATACGCCATGAGTCTGATTGATGATTGGTGTGATGCGGGGCAAAGTACTGCTATTACGATTACGATCTGCCAGGGGTTGCATGTAACGTCAGCCACCCTGGAACACATCAAAATATCCTTTTTCGGCTGAGATCGTTAGACCTAATTCAGGTAAATTTATCATGTTCCAATAAGAAGAAACCAACTTATAAAAATCCTTTCTTGATGTTACTCTTTTGATGCTTGATGGTGAGCATGCGTGGCTTGTCTTATCATATCAGCTCCCCGGATCTCGGCCGACCCATAGTGCCCATCACTGGACCGGGAGCCATCTCTCTCTGAGCCTGCACCAGTGGCGTGAGAAAATTCGGTGGTGGTTTTATCAGATTAGCATTATATTATCTAACCTCTGCATTTGCATTACAGAATGGGAAAAACACATCTAGTACAAAATTATTCCGAGGCCAGCTACATCCCAACCAAGAAACTGGCTGCAGCGACAACTTGCTTCTTAGACAGAAAAGCTTCCACAACCCAGCTTCGAATAGTTTTCGCTGCCCTTGGGAGGTTGTTGAGAAGTCCCCGGTTCAAAAAGAAGAGCAGTTCTCGGAAGTACTGATTTTCCAACTGGAAGAAAGCAATATGGCAGTACACAATCCAACGAATTAGAAGCTCTTTGAACTTCTCAATGGAGTCTTTCCAGAAAAAGGTATTAGTAGCAGCCGCGCTCTTCTGCTGCTCCAGTACAGACTTCCGCCTTGAACTACGTTTCTTGCTACCACTCTGGGGACCAATCTGGTGCCTCTGTTCCAGATGATTTCTCACTCCAGACGTGCCGTTGATGATAAAGATTCTTGTCATCGAAGGTGCGTTTGCCGTCGACAGAGCAAAAGCGGCGACATTAACTGCATATGGGCTCAGGCACGAGCGGCCCTAACCCCAAGAATATCATGTTTCGTTAATAACATGCAGTTATTACGACGATCCACTAAGGATACGAAGCAGGATGCTAAGTAGTAGGCAGCCACATTAAGTAACAGTGACTTTACCGTGATGCATCCTAACAAGAATAGCGCTAGGCAAGCTAGCAAATACCATGGATTAGTATACTAGGCGGACTAAACCAGAAATATAATGCGTTTAATCGACGTTATCAGAAGCACGATCAGGGTGAACCAAATCACAACTAGTTCCCTAGAAATCATAGTAATAATGCAGGAACTTAGCTGCTTTTAGTAATTACCGCTATTATCGTCTTATAAACTCCAATCCATAATAATACCCAAGCCAAGACCAAGACGGATAAACATACCAGGGCAGGTATTCTCCAGGGCCACTATACTATTATAAAGTCAGGTTTAGGCTATAAAGTCGCAGCAAATCTATGCGTCTACAAAAAAGGAAAAGATAATATAAGGTATATAAAACGCGGCAGTACAGGGCAAGCTTATAGGGATCAAGGAAAACAATATCTAAATAATAAGAATAGGCTTTAAGTAAACAATAATAAAGGCATATACAGGAATACAAATCTGATTTAGCGCCTTAACCTCCTTCCTTAAGTCAGGTAAGACCTTAATCACGCAGCTCACACTAAACAAGAGGCAGGCAATCGCCCTTCTTATTGTATATGCTACCAGCTAGATCTAATAAGATACAGCAAGAAGGATAAAACAGGTCAGTTATGCCAGTTCATCAGTAGGGACGGGACCGGTAAGTCGCGAGTTATCCAGGCGCTCGTCGAGTTGTTCAAGTCAAAAGAGCAACCAAACCGTATATTAATAACGGCAGCGTCTGGGACTACAGCAGCACAAATCGACGGCATCACAATCCACTCCGCCTGCGGGTTCTTAAAAGACATCGCGACAGCTGCCCACATAACCAAGAATGTTAATAGTATGTAATTACTAAAACAAGCAGAGCAATTTATTAACGGCCAGTCTTAAATAGACTAGTAAGACAAGGATATACTAGTTATTAATAAGGTGAGCATACTTAAGGCGCAAACACTACACACGGTAAATAAGAAGCTCTACAAGCTACACAGGTCACAGTAAGATTTCGGAGGGATCCCTATTATGCTCTTTTACGGAGATTTTTACCAGTTCCTGCCGGTCCAGGAGCAATCCATCCTCCTCCTAAGCACGGCCGTCTATAGGACATAAACAACTCGTTCAAGGCCAAGCAACGGCACCAGCATAACAAGGCGCACGCGCTGTGGAAGAAATTCACGAGTAAGTACGCGCCGCGGGAAACCCCAAATTACAGCAACTGCTAAAAAGGATCCAACTTAATATACAGGATCATACAGACTTAAACCTTCTTAATTCAAGGTGCTACCAGGAGAGGAGGCAGATCCCGTAGGAGATAGGCATTACTATAGTAACGCCACTTAATAAAAACTATTAGAACCTTAATATAAAAGCAAGTTTAGTATTCCAGATCTAGCAGCAATTAACAATACGCATTTTTATGTCTGAGTATAAGTGGAAGGGCAGGCTACCAATAAAGGAAGAGGCCACCATGATGCTGAACCAGGGTGATAATAGTATAATACCGGTACTAGCCGTCTTTATATTCGTGCCAAAGGTGCCGGTAGTTATAAATTATAATATACTATAAGGATTAAAGCTGGTGAACGGGGCCAGTTACACGGCGGTGGACGTGATCTTGGATAAGTTATATCTAGGGCACTGGATCTTGGCCGGCCTTATAATCCACTTTAGACTGCTGGCGGGGATTTTACTAGAGTTAAAGACGATAAAAGATTTTTACTTTGTTAGGATACCGCCAGGCACTATCCTCTTAACGCTAATAAGTATTAAGATATAATATCAGTGGAAGCGGCCATGGCAGCAGAATAATATGAGCCGGAAAGGGTTACCATGCACAGCGGGTTTTGCATGTACATTAGAGGGCGAGAAACTCTAACCAATGGGAGACGAGGGTTTTGGCGGGGAGAAATTTTTGGCGTCGGGGTGCGTCCAGAAAAGAGCCTTTCGTTCCTCAAGGCACTACAAAGCACCATGATGTAAGACAGCCTTTGGCTGAATTAAAAACTAAGAAGCCCAAGAGCCCATATATCTACCAGAAAAAAGAACCTAGCAACGCGAGTAACGTGTAAAGCCTACTGACCCATTACAGCCGATGCTGCCTTTCGAGCCGTAACAGCAGTCACAACCGGCGCGAGATCTAGCACGCTCAGCGTTCGCTCTGAACGCTTCCACCCCAACTCCTCTGGGAACCTCTCCTCTGTCAACCACACCTTTACACGGTCTTTGGGCGCCTTCCAAGTCTGTACAGAGGGCGCGCTAAAAAAAGACGGTACTGGACCGTCCTTCATCATCATCAGCAATAAACCAGCCTCTGTAAGCGCCAGTACTTCATGCTGGGGTGGTATCCGCTGTGGCGCGGATAATGCCTCGACACGGACGCGACTCTTTGCAAGAGACGCAACGTCTAGGTAGTCTGTTGGACTATCGTCCAGCAAAGCAGATACCCGGGCCGGGACCTCGCCAATGTTCGCCTCTGCAGGCGTTACATCATCGCGTGTCAAGGAGGCGATATGCTGTATAAGACCGGGTGTATTAAGGTCCTCAAGGTCAAAGGTACTGCGGCCCCAGACAAGCGTGAACCCGGTCGCAGGCGCCGTGCCGAACAAGGGGTCTGCATTAAGGCCTTGGGCCATAGCATCGCCAAACTGCTGTACCGTGAGGTTTCGGCCGCTATGAGGTCTTGTTGGTTCAATGTTAGCTGCATCTGTAGCATGGACTTGGAACAAACGTACAGGTAGCCATGGTTGGCTAGTGTGTTTAACATGGGACAGGGACCGCGAGAATCATCTGGGCCCGGGGCTTGCCATGGGTTTAGGCCTTGTACGGCAACAGTCAAGGCAGCCAGGGTAGTAAGAAATGAGTATGACATGGTAGTCGGACGCTCTCTTGTTTACAATACCAAGTAGATTGTAGAGTTGGACATGTCTACCAGCTTTACTATAATAGCTAGGACAAGTAACAATCTATATATATAAACCGTTGAACCCTTTGGCTATCATTGATGGATCTTGCCGAGGTCCCAGGGCCGGCAATTAGTGGATCGCAACGCATTGACACTGCTAACGTTTGGATGTCAGACCAGGACGAGGCCGCGCGGCAAGGATCACGATGGGCTAGTAACTATATAGTGTTAAGCTTTGGGCATAGTTCAAAGCACAATGTTAAATTTCAAGGGGCGTAGGATAAGGCGCCTTGCGGGACGAAGGGTTCTTTTCTTAACGCACCCTATTAGTTAAAGTTTCTCGTCTTGTTATTGTTATTCAGGTTCAGCTCACCCAGCACTTTGATATCCTTGGTTGCGGGCACATCTTGTTTACCGTTGCCCGGCTTGTTATTGAAGTATAGCTATTGGGACGAATGTGAGATTGTGACAAGAAGCTTTGGGCATGCGCGGAAATTAAAGCTAAGCCTCTGTGGATGATATGCGCAAAACATTTGAACTCTATTAATAATTGGGCCCCCCTGATTGGCTTCTTCCGATGGGTGCTCTGCCTCGGATAAGGCTGCTGCACCTGATAACTGCTCCTCAAACACCTTAACGTTGTAGCCAAAAAGAAGAGCTTTCGCAGAGAGGTCGATGGCGTGGCCAAAACAGCGGCCACGCCTTGTAGCTCCCACAAAGCCAAGCTCGCCGCCAATTACTTCCATTGCTTCATTATTACTCTCTGTGTTATCTAGTGTGAAGTACCCAATCCGATCCTTGATTCCATACGCATTAAGGACGTCGAGTATTTCCGCCGCAATATTGTGTCTAAAATGACGAGTTTGCAGTTCAGGGACGCTAAGCACTAGCTTGCGCGGCTGACTGTTTTTATCCCGAAAGAAACAAGTAATCCCGTAGAGGCTGTGTCTATTCCCTGAACGAGACTATTTGCAATATCTTGCTCGCGTGGGAGCCTTGTATCGAGTTTCATTACACCGGCAATAGACCTCTGGTCCCTGCTCCTTGAACAGATGAGCATTCGCGTTCTGAATGCCCTTCTCTGTAAAGTTCCTGGGTATTGGGCGCCGGCTTTGAATGTAACATTTGTAAACCCATCGCCGATTACTATTGGCGCTCTGGATATTGTACCTAAAATTCCATACCTAAGAGGATTGGGCTTTGCGCGGCAATAACGACCCAGGGAGAGGGTTTGTTCATGATGTGAAAGCGTCGAGGCTGCTACTCGCAGCAAAACTCCTACCCTAAATCAACAGATTTCAACTACTTAATCAACTGAATATAAAGATGTCATATAGTCCTAGTATGATGTTCCATTTTGTATATTAAAGGCTATTTACGGTTCGATAAATTTGGTACATACTTAAGCCCCACACTTTCTCTTATACTGGTTTGTTCCGCCTTGTCCGTTTTGTTCCTAGACAGGCCTGCTTGAAGGCTATTCCCTAAGTGTTTAGCGTCCTATCCTTAGCACCTGAAGTATAGTCTGCTAATATTAAGGCTGTTTTATTGTTAATATTATTTTGTGTACTGGTTCTCTAGTCTGGTGGTTATTAGTCCCGTATAAGCCTCCCTGTTACTAATGCAAATTTAATTACTGCTTTCACGGCTTGCATGTCTGGTTTCTATTTGTCATTATTAGACCGTGCTTTCCCTCCTAAGAAATATGAGAGGTTCCCTATTTTCTCTTATGAGCAATTAAGTAATATCTTCTGTTACGCGGTCTACTTTCTATATTAAAACAAAAAGTGTTCTACTGTTTCCGGTGATTGCCCACACTTGTATAGGCTTAAGTCCGCTGCCCCAATCCTGTGGAGAAAGCCGTTAAGCCTTGCCATACCCGTTCGTGGTTAGACTAGAATGTCTGATTCTTTTCTGCTTAATTAATCATACAGTTCTCGCGTATACTTTCCCAGTAATGCCGTGCCTACCTGTTTTGAGTATTTACCAACTCCCTCCGGCAGTTTCCTTACTTATTATTAGGCCAGATTAGCCAGCCATAGCTTTATGGATCTAGCTTAGTATAGTTGTACGTCTGATGTCTCGAAGCTAAAGCGTAGCTCTAAAAAGGCTATTATACTAGCTATAAAAGGGCCTAATAAGGCTAGCAACGCCAAGAGCAAAGCTGCCTAATAAATCTGTATTGGCGGTTTTACCTCTTCCGGAGGGGTTACCTCTTCCGGAGGGGGTATTAGTAGTTTTACCTTTTTTAAAGGGGATAAAAAAAAATTATAATTTATATAAATAAAATTATAATTATAATAATAATTTAAAAGAAAATATTATAATAAAAAAAGTAATTTATTATAATATATAAAAACCCTTAAATTTACTTTATAAATAAACTTTAATTTCTTAGCTTTTAATATAAATTATTATATTAAATAAGCTTTACTTATAACTTTTTAAATAGCCTTAAAAGAATTATCTTATAAGTCTTTCCTGCCCTTATAAAACTTTATAATTAAATAAAAGTAATTAAAACCAGTTATATTATTTTAGTAAGTAATAGGGTTAAAGTATAAAGTAATTAAATAGGTTATTAAATATATAAGCGGTAAGGGAGCTAAAAGCCTAAAAAGCTATATACTTTACTTGGTTAATAAAATTAATATTCTTAGTATTATATAAGGCTAATTAATTACTTTACTAAATAAAATCCTAGCTATTTATTATTATTATAGCCTATCTAGTAATATAAGCTAGGCTTTAGATCTTTTAGTAAGAGGTAAAAGGTTAATATTTTTTTTAGTTCTTTTTAAAGCTGATTTTTTAGTTAAGAAAGGCC